GAGTCTGGAGCCAAGCGTGGCTTCAGGAGCCTCAGGCCTGCGTTCAGGGACTCCACCACCTCCGTGTTGGTGCGGTTCTCGTAGGGGAGGCGGCCCTCGTTGTACACCTCCCACATGAGCACACCTGGACGGAGAGGGGGGACGACAATAGCCATCAAACACACAAACTGTTGGTCAGTTAAAGTGATGAGGACCAGGCGAGATTCCTCAGCTGTCGTGGAATCTCGCCTGTGTCTGGTTCATCATTTGTATATCTGTGGTCAGCTCTTTTGCATTCACCATTTTTTAGTGGTTATGACGAGCATTAGGACAGACTGGTGATGCTTTCAGACTCGTGCATTTATCCATTTAACAGCATGGTGCTAAAGTTGACATGATCCCCACAATGCCTGCACACAATCAATACTGTATCTATGACCCACTCAACAGGGATTTATTCTTCGGTCTGATTTCGGTAAAATACATACATCCTGTCAATGAATAAATAAATAAATAAATAAATTGTCACCAACTGTTTTTTGCTTTGGATTTTCAATCTTACACATTAATTAAAATAATACAGCAAATAAAAATGTTAAAACTCTTAATGTCCCTCTCAAAACACCTCTACCAAACACATATTAGAGTTACTTATTTAAAAGATTTTGCCATGAAAATAATTCCTTCCTGCCTTCCACTGGCTTCAATGTAACTCCACACCATTCCTTCCTGCAGCTCGAGCACACCAGCTCACCCACCACTCTGCTCAAACACTGTAAAACTACACATGTTTTCATATTAGAGCAATTCAGCCACAAATTGTTTGAAATAAATTTGGAGGAAGATAATATTTTGTAGCACCTCTGTCGGAGGCTGTAGTCATTTTCATTGTACACTTTTCTTCTTGAGCAAACTGTTCCTCGTAGGTTTGATGGGGACCTTCCACCAGCTGAGTTTCAGCTCCTTCAGGCTCACAGTGGGCGGCTTTAGAATGGTCCAGTGTTTTCTCCTCATTCATTTCTGGGTACTTTTAGTTGTACGTGTCGGATCATTAATCAAGTGGAGAAGCTATGACCTGCGATTGAAACACAGCTCTATGACACTGAGGTCTATGTTCGGCTACAGTGATAATCTTCGCTATGTGAACGTTATGTGAACAGAGCTGATGAGGACATTCTCCCAGAAGCATTGCGATTTGTCTGAATGCACTTTATCAAACGCCAGGCAGTTCATGTTTCTCTTTAAAAAATAGGATCTTCCTGGGAGGATTTCCTCTGGACTCTGGAGCCCTGAAAGAAACTTAAGGTGCAACCAGATATGCTCTTGATCTTGAATGTCAGCTTGTGTCTGTTTTGAAGTTTTCCTTCCATTCAAACTGTTCCTCTGCTCAATCTTTCCTCACGCAGCCTCACACAGGGTGACTGGGCGACAGTCCCGTGGAACAAATTCCTAATTATATCAACCGCTGCCATCTCAAGGCTCCAGACATTGTTCGGAGATGACTGATGGTCTTCGTTTATCTGTGTTTTGAAATGACTGTCTTACTCATCTCCTCACACAACTTCTTTCACTTTCTCTTACCAAACATCACAATGAGAACTTCTCTCCATTTAAACAGACTGAACGGTTGGTTTACAGTTTGAAGGCAGCTGTGACGCAATTTGAATAAAACAGTAGTCTTCTTGAAATATCACCAGAATCCGTGTGTTTATCACTGCTTCAGAGGTGTATCAGGGTTTCTACAGGGTTTGAAGAGCGTCATAGAGGAACGAGCTGCAGTGAAAAGTGGGCAGAGACACAGGTGGGGATTTCATCTGTCTGCAGAAGCAACAATGTCGATCTAAACCGTTTTAAGATGGAAGGGAATTATTTTCATGGGAAACTGCTAAATGTGTAAGTTTTCAGGGGGTTATTCAACAACCAGAGAGGAACTTCAATCTGTGGCAAACCAAAAGTTTGCAGGTAAGCATGATAAATGAACGTCTAGTGCTATATCTGTAGCAGCAGTTGTAATCAGCCATATTTAATTTTTTTTAACCAAACTACTTTGTATCTGTTGGATTTCACAACTTTCGAACAAAGAATCTCATCTCGTGGAACATGTTAAGTTGCTGCTCGTTTAATCTGCTGTCCTGGAGATTGTCCTAACAGTATTAACTTCTTGGAGCTTACTGTAAATCCATTTAGTTGACATGACACAAGGCATAGTTACAGTCTTTGGCACATTAGATGAAAACAAGCTAGAATATCGTTTACACTCATGTTCTTTCATCTTCAGAGGTTAAAATGTATGATTTCAATTTGCTTTTTAAACTGTAATTCTACTTCATTTACTTTTCTCTGTGTATGCGTCCCTCAGTGGGAGAAATACCCTCGACCACTGCAGTCTTGCTAAACTTCCAGTGTGGTTTCCCCGAAGAACACAACACTAGAGTGAATATGCTCTCAGTAAAACATGCACTGCACATTATTCTGTGAATGAAGCTTGGAAAACACTAGGTTGGTTCAAAAAAAAGCCAGAGGAAGACATCTTGCATGACTTGAAAGACAGCGAATCGTACGCACAGACAACACAGCCGACATAAATCAACGCACCGAACGACCAGACGTCAGACTTGCTGCTGAACTTGTTGTATTTGATGACCTCCGGGGCCGACCACTTGACAGGGAACTTGGAGCACTGAGAGCTCGTGTACTGATCATCAAGAAGAAACCTACAGTGGACACAAACCACACACCGCTATAAAAAAAAGATGACTTATAAAGTGAAAACAACATGATTTACAAAGTTAGGTACGAGTTATGATGGACATTTGGACACAAGAGCTTCAGAATATTTAATTAAATCCTACCTGGCCATGCCAAAATCCGACACCTTCACCTCATTGTTCTTTGCGACAAGACAGTTCCTGGCAGCCTGTGGTAGGAACAGAAGAAAGATAAACTCCTAACTGAACGGAGACACAAAGGAGCATCATGAAAAGTCTCTATCTGCGGGTTTACCAGATCTCTGTGGATGAAGTTGGAGCTCTCCAGGTAAGCCATCCCTTCGCTGACATCCAGACACATCCCCAGCATGGTATCCTGAGACAGACGGCCCTTCCTGGCCCGCAGGTAGTCTGACAGGCAGCCGTTGTCCATGAACTCAAACAGCACACACATGGGCGAGCGCTGGGTGCAGACACCGTAGAGCTGTACGAGCTTACAGTGAGACAGCCTCCTGTTATATCACATGCACCAGATGAGTGATTTCGGCGGCTGAGGTTTCCAGTTAATTTCACTGTGAACAACATGAACTTCCACTATGAATTGCGCTCACATCATAACCCGTGCTTCTTCTTTGAAGTCCTCGTCCGACATGCACTCTTCTCTCGTCATCTTCACCGCCACCTTCCTGTCCCTCCACCTGCCCTCCAGCACCAGCCCAAACTGACCGCTGCCCAGCTCCCGACCCAGCGTCAGCTCCTCGGGGTCCACTTCCCACTGATCTGTGGAGCAGCAGCGACATTCGAAATGCTGTTCAGTTAAATAGAGACAGTTGTATTGTGGAACGATATTAACAATAAATATTCAAGTTGAAGCGATGGCAATAAAGTGATTTTCTTAATTCTTGCTGCAGATAAGGGTGAAGTGGTGGACTGAACACACTGTGTGAAAACCACTAGAGGTCAGTGAAAACAAACTTAAGTTTTGAGCTCCGGTACAACCAGCAGATGTTTCAACCTTTTAAGGGGTCAGCAATTTCACTGGAGCAGCATCCACCTTGAGAAACGGGGTGTCTGAGACGCGTTATCAGACCTACAGAGTCCAAAAAAAACACACACAGAGAGACGAAGGCACACATATTAATACACATATATTGCAAATTCCTTTTATTCCTTTTGTCATGATATTTGTGAAGTTTTATTTATTTATTGAGCTGATCTTTCTTGTTCGTGTTCGGGGGTTTTTCTGGGGGATTTAGTCGCATGAGGAAGGCCAGCACACTTACCGGCAGCGTTGTGTTGATGGTAATGAATTAGCTCTGGAATGGTGCTAAACAGGTACTTCTCCGCCAAGTAAAATGAAGCCTGGCCTGTTTCTGTCTGTCTGATTTGGTAATGTTTCACTCTTGGATTCTTCTCCCCATTAGACCTGAAGAGAAGAAAGCAACGTATTAGTGCAACAAATCACATATAGCTCTAAAATGTGAGCAGATATTTTAACTTTACACCAATTTTATGATGTTATTTAGTTAAATACACAAGATAGAAGAAGGAGGTACCCTGGAGCTTTGGTAAACACCGACACCGTGTAGACTCCCACCTGCCTTGAGTCTCGCACCATAAATGCACCTTCCTTTCCCTGAAGGTAGAATGTCGAAATCACAGGTTTGGCAACATTAAAAGCACATTTTGTAATGCGTACGCTTATTAACAGTTTATTTAACATGCAGTTTGTGCCAGCACAGGCCTGCTAGTCGGTTCAAGCAGCAGCAGATAACGATGGATAGCTGTTCTCCCTCCCGCTTGCAAAAACTTAGCAAAGCAAAGTCGTCACGGCAGGAAATTCACCGCTGGAGGAAACATTGTGGTTGTGAGAAATTTTTCGTGTCCCATGCCATGTCACATTTTCGTCGTGCAGGTGCATTAATATTGCAAAAGCAAGATCGCTGTGGGTGGCACAGGCACAAGCAAGTGGTGCTATGTATCATACAGGAGCAGCAGAATTGGGTTTTGAAACATTTCTTTTTTTTATGTCAGGACGGGCCTGGAAGCATAAACAAATGGAAACTGAATAATCACTGATCATGTTTTTTTTCCTTACCTCTTTCATTAACAAATCCTCTGCCTCTCCTCTGTTAATGTTTTTGTTGTACCATCTGCGAGAGGACATATTAACAAGTAAATCAGCTCCACAGAGGGGAAAAGACGGATTTGTAGGAATTCACAGAGTAACAATTAGAAAATCAAACTCACTCAAATCTCTCAAAGTTGCTGCCAGACTTTTCAGCTACGAACGTACTGGGAACAAAACCGATGTTCCTGATCAGAGGCCAGAAGGGGGGAAAAAAGTTATTTTTTAAATGTAAGCAGTAAATAAGAATGAGATGGTCATACAAAGGTGCGTTACCCTCTGTCGTCTTGTACCGTCCACCAGTCAGGGTGGGAGTTATTGACCAGGGCGTACTCCTGATCCTTCTCAAGAGGCAGGTCATTGTCTCCCAGCGGTGTGTAGTCTTGCAGAGCGATGACGAACTGCTGTCCAGAATCCTGCAGTCCCCACTGACGCAGAATAAAAAAAAACAATATTATCGACTCAGTTCAATTTAAAAAAAAACTAACTTTTCTGCTTCAACAACAAGGAGAGCAAAAGTTGCGCAACACTTTTACGTGTGTAAGAAGTGATCTAGTTTTTGTAGCAGATAAATAAAAAAATCTACATCCCACAACAAAAGGACATTATTTTAACTTTATTGCAATGCTATTTAGGTTATATTAGATTGTTGTGTTTTACAACAGAATTGGAAGAGGCCTTGAAATGACATTACGCAAGCAGTGCACGATAACTAACTTAGCAGCAAAAATGTTCTGTTACCAAACCACAGGTTACAAAAGCCAAAGCAGAATCTATTTGTCAAGTGAAGCATTTCTGAAAATATCTTAAATGTAAAATAACTTAAGTAAGTAAGTAACACATGAAAAATTCCAGTTTTTTTTTCTAACCCGTATAATTTAAAAACACCACCGACGGGCTCAATGTTAATATTTACACGTTATTTGTGCTTTAAGTGGTACCTGTGGATCTGGGAGTTGAGGAAGCGGCTTTTTCGAAGCTGTGGGGAAATCAGAAATATCACATTTAAGAAGTTTAGGGTGCATCCACATTTACAAAGCGGCAACAGGCTTATACAAGATTTGGTAGATTGCATAGTTGTGCAACACTAGGACTAAATTTAGATCAAGATTCACCATGAGCAAATGCTCAAAGGGCCTAAAAAAAGTTACAAGACATGATTTATGAGAGGGTTTGGGGGTTTCTTTGGAGGGGGGTGAGACAATTACACACTGAATCAGACACAAATTGGGACAAAGCTTTGATGAAAATGCATATCGTTAGCCTCATAGCATAATTGCCTGAGTCATTTTTTGGTCAAATTGAGATATTTGCCTAACTTTACTCTCCTATCACTTCTGCATCATGCTGTCTTTCTACCTATGTCATTGGCCAATCACATCTGGTTGAATGTACTGTTAAAAAATCAATAATAAATACCAATGTTATTTCTAAAAATTGTGTTGTTTCTCATTTCCCAAAAACATGAAAATATGACTTAGGCAAGTATGCTATGAGGCTAACGATATTAAACAAGGAAAAAATAATACAAACCGTAGCCCACTGGGTCATACACATGACAGCCCGATGCCAGTTTCTCTGTTTGTTGGCAACACCTCCATTTTCCATCCATATAGAAGTTTGGGTGAAACTTTGCAACCAAATTGTTGTTCTTTGTCTCTGTATCAAACAAAACACAAGAAGTACATGGTCTGATTAATCAAAATGAATGAATTCATAACCTATAAGCTCAAGGGTCAGCAGTGACTTTACGTACCCTCTTTGAGAGCTCTCACCCATTTCTGTCGGCAATCATTGTCAGGGGCAAAAATGTAGAGGTAATGGTTGCCATGAAAAACCTGTAGAGACATTTGTATTTGTTACTTTTTCTCTTGTTTTTAGTCATAAATGCACTACATACATAATCATACATTACACTTGCAGTGCGTAACACCAGATTTTTGTATTGGAAATGTATGATTTCTACCTGAAAAGGATACTTATAGGTGCATGGAATGGGAACATCACAGCACACACTCTCCACACACTTAATTTTGGACAGTTCGATGCAACCTTTCTGCATGGGCTTTTTCTGAAAGAAACATGATGTTTAATCTATAACTGTTAAACCCAAGAGGCCATATTTCTGCTTCAGCTGCTTGGCTTCAAACAAAAAGCAAGCGGGTAGCTACTCACCCCGGGACGACGCTCAGAATACTTCAGGTCTTGGGTGTCCAACACAAAAAATCTTTCCTTGTAGTTAGACGGTGATGTTTTTTTCTTTTGTTGAGATTTTTTGATCATAGTTCCCTTCAGAATCACCCTGGGGAACATGGTAACAGCCACGAACAACACAGTGACAACGGTTTCGTCATACACAGAGAGACTGAGTGCCTCGCAGTGACGGTGAAACTTTGAGAAAAAAAATTTGGGGATGATAAGTTGATAGATGCCTCGAAGCTTCCGGTATGCAGTGCTTGCACACAATAAACCACATCCTTACGGCAAGACATAGTTGTAGAAGGAAGCACACACATGCACAGACGTTCTCCATGCACTCGCATACTTTCACTCAGTATGTTGCAATAAGCCAGCATGTGGAGTGTGCAGTAGTAGAAAAGTGATTCTTTATAACCTTGGCATTTTTGAATATTTTACACCAAAATATGCACCTTAAAGGAAATGACCTGGTAATGACATAAAGTTTGGTATGATGTAAACACTAAATGTGGCTGCTAATGTAAGAATAATTTGAAACTTAAAAACTGTTTTTTACCATTAAAACAGTACCTTAAACACTTTAAATTTACATGAAAACAAAATTACAAAAATGTTTCTATTCAATTGAGCAATCAGAAAATGAAAAGTGTTTTTTGCTGCCAAGATGTTTCGTGTTCTGTGTGGGTTTCTGTTTGTTTGCGTTGTTTTAGGATTTTACACTTTGTTTCTTTAATTAATCCACGCCATCCTCATTTTTTTTTGGTCTCTGTTTGTAAAAGCAGAGACAGAAAAATGACAACGTACATTTTCTTTTATCATCCCTCTCTTTCTAATAAACAATACTCAGACACAGAGACGGTCCATGGTGGGATTTTTGGGGGGTTATTTTTCAACAACTATGTTAATTATAGTCGAGGTTCTAGATGTGTTCCAGTAATCATGAGGAAATTAATGTGAATAAAACTTTTTTAATTTCTTCAGAAATAACAGTTAGACATGCTGGGTAGGTCTAGTAAAGATTCTGATCAGAAACAATTCATACTCACATGAAGTGAATTATTTTGTGGGTGCTATAGCACCACCATCAGGAAAAGTGTTTCTACAGTT